GCTCACGAAAGTTGGAATTTCCTGGTGTCCAAAGTATCAGCTCCACAATCTGCTGCGATTACCGAAAGCGTATTTATACATAAAAATGGCCATCCATTTTGATAGCTAATCCCGAGCTTTTTGCCTATAGGTGAAACCCTCCAGAACCAATTACTTGAGTCAACCCAGTGTCTGACTTGAACCCCTGGGAAAAATAGCAATAGTGAGAAGTGAAGAAAGCATTTAATACAGTTATGCATGCATTCGGTAGCACGGCGCCATTCGGCTGGTACAATGAAATCGCTCCCTCACCACGCCTATGACCAGACAAACGCACCCACTTCACCCGTTCAGACAGGCGCTGAGCAGATGTCTTTCGACCACTCACTGTATGCCCTACTTGGAATCTCCGAACTGCACAGAACAACAGATTTGACAAGGTTAGTAAAGCCTACGACCTTTAAGTAAAACCGATGGTGAATTTTATATGGAATTAGAAAATTGATCAGTGTAATGGAATCAATAGGATTTGAATATTTTTGTCCCTGCTTTAACAACCATGATCCGTGTTTCAGTTCGTTGTTTTACCGATCTGACATTTCATTGTACAGGGAACCAAGTATTCGTTTTATGTACGGTAAGCTTTGCCTCCGAAAACAGAGGATGTAGGTCAATCGTGCTCATAACGGTCAGGAGTCCTGTGATGGTTGAGTATAAGAGAGAGGTCAGATGAACGATGATGAGAAGATTTTACTTATTAAAACGCGCTTCGATGTTCTGTCTTTACCCTCATAGCTGATGACTACCAAAACCGATTACTCTAAACTTAAAATAATTTGTTTTTATTTCCTTGTTAAGTTGTTTGCTTCAATAATGCTTTGGAGGTGCTTTATTTGCTCGTTTGACGCACCAGTGCCCACTCAGACGGGCATTGCGTCTTCCTTCGGCTTTAGGCAAATTTAAGGTGACCTACATTATCATAAAACTACCTTAAAGGTATTAATTCGATGTGATTGATTCAACATTCCATCTAACATAAACTGAAAAGTTCGTAGGACTAATAACTCCCTCACAGTCACTTTATCAGTGACGCCGGGAAAATTAAAATTTGATTTAAATCTAGCAAAAGCTATTCGCGAATGTGTCCACCTAAAAAGTGCAATGCTGTTCAAGTGCTCACTCTATCATAGCGACTCCTATTTTAAAAGGAATGTCATTAATGCATTGTAAAAAGAGTTTTATGCTTTCATAAACCCTCAGATTTGAAAAAAGGAAAATTACTACTTACACTTATCATAAAAAGTACATATACTTTATTATATGTTCAGTTGTCAGTGTTAAGAGGGCTTTTGAGTATTTTTTCAGTGACTGCTACACTTTGAGGCCTCTATGCTCTTTTTCCTGTTGCTTTAAATGCCTTTTTCAAACACAAGATTGACTAGAGCTCTCAACATTGTAGTTCATATGAGTTGTTTAAACGCAAATCGTAGATCATCGGCAGAAGATCAGTACGGAATAACAATAAACATATTCCCATTTTTCTTCCTTATCCGCCCCTTATGCTTTATACCATTACATCCACTAAGGCATATCAAATTCGGTAGAATTTTAGGACGCCACCACTGAATTTGCAAAGACAACGCTTCCCCTAACTACCGCCTTTTAGCTGGGATCACTGAAGTGAGCCGGTGAGTTGAATTCCAAGTTATGAAAATTGATCTGGTCCAGTTCCACTAGCCAAACGTGTACGTATTCTGCTCAAGCACTTTGTCCTCAAATTTTTCGGGGAACCATCCTTTATGGCAAACTTGACACCTCATTTGAGCAGACGGGCCCATGACAAGAATTTTGTTCTTAATCCTACCCTAACTAAACGCACTTCTTTCGCACCGCAGCAGCTCATCACAGACGGTGAGAATCAGAATAGAAAAGGCAACGAATTTCAGTATTATTTATCCTTTACCGCCAGCATAAAGTCCCAGGACTTCTCATTTAAAAGTAGAAGGCTTAGAGCATGACTGATTGCCTGCATTCGTAGGGGAGGAGAAGCCGTGGAGTTCTAGCTTTCATCTACAAAGCATCACAATGGCTTTATGGTTCCGGGATTACCCAGAGGTCTACTTTTGTAACTCTATGTATGATAAGAACATGCTTGCATCTCCCAGCCTTTCCGCTAGCTAGTAGCACATTTTAGTCCAGAATTTTACATTATGCCAAATTTAGAGAAGACTGGAGACTCTATCACAACTGTCCATTAGGCATAGCCTTCAATAGCAGCACAATTATGCACAAAGAACATTCTAAGCCACGATGCATAGCAATAAAATATGGGTAAGTTAAGTACTAATTATAGACTGTAGATGCCTATGTTAATGACAATTTTCGCATGTTGTATATTTGATTATTAATATTAGTTGCAAAACCATTGAAAATTGTTTAATGCGACATTCAACAATGAGCGGTTAGTCCAGTTTTCGTACGCTGTGCTGTTGTTGAGGTGGTTGTCGCGATGTCGTCTGTTGAAACATTGTTAACTGTTCTTCAGAAGACAGGTTCCAATGGTAAATACGGTTCCGTATTTCACTGGTTTTATGCTAGTCAATAATGAACTGGTTGCTGCACAGCAGTATCTGGAGGAAGCAGCAAAAGCTGATCTACCAGGACTGCTGAAAAACTTAAGCGACGTCCTTGCGAATGTGCAATGCGATCCAATTTCTCGAATGCAGGCCGGATTGCAGCTGAAGAATGCAATTTATTCCAAGGATCCAGCTATCAGGATGTCGTATCATGATCGCTGGCTCCAGATGCCCGTAAATTACACCAATTATATCAAACAAAAGGTGGGTGCTTCTATGAGCTTACTCGTTGCTAGTGTCTTGAAGCTCTTGGCACCGAGACAACTGCTCACAGTTCCGCTGCTCAGTGTGTTGCTCATATAGCTTTTGCAGAAGTCCCAGTCAACAGGTGGCCGGATTTGATGTCAAAGCTGGTCATGAATGTGACAAGCTCTAGCAGCACCGAAAGTATCAAGCATGCGACTCTCGAAGCTATCGGCTACCTATGTCAAGACATTGAACCTGCCATATTATCAAATCAATCAAGTGAAATATTGACTGCTATTATTTTTGGAATGAAAAAGGAAGAACCAAGGTAATGCTCCTCATACGGGTTATTCTTCATAGTGACAAAGTTAAACTGGCTGCCACGAATGCACTTCTTAACTCTCTGGAGTTCACCAAGCGTCATTTCGATGTTGAACACGAGCGTAACTACATAATGCAGGTTGTTTGCGAATCCACACAGTCTTCCGATCCTTTAATCAGGGTAGCAGCTCTCCAGTGTCTTGTGAAAATAATGTCGCTTTATTACAGCTACATGGAAATGTACATGGGTCAGGCTCTGTTTGCAGTAAGGAATTTTATAGTTTTAGTCTGGTACCCTAGATCACTTTGAATGCCATGAAGTCCGAAATTCCTGAAGTATCGCTGCAGGGCATCGAGTTTTGGTCAACTGTCAGTGATGAGGAGCTGGAATTAGCTATTGAGGCATGTGAATGCGCCGAAAAGGGTCAACCTCCTGCTGTTTCGAGCAGGTATTACGCTAAGGGTGCCTTGCACTATATTGTTCCTATTTTGATGGAGATATTAGCCAAGCAAGATGAAGGCGATGACGATGACGAGTGGAATCCTAGCAAAGCTGCCGGTGTTTGTATAATGCTTCTTGCTCAGGCTTGTGAGGATGCTATAGTAGAAATAGTGATCCCTTTCGTCGAACAGCACATACAGAATGTTAACTGGAGGTTCCGAGATGCCGCAGTTATGAGTTTTGGGAGCATTTTGGAGGGTCCCAACCCGGAGGCTCTTAAACCGCTTGTTGTGTCAGCGATGCCGGTCATCATGAATATGCTTGGAGACCAATCACCAGCTGTTCGAGACACCACTGCGTGGACACTTGGGCGAGTGTGCGAAATTCTTCCAGAAGTAGCCCTTGCCGCTGAATACCTTAGCTCACTGGTCAGTGGACTTCTTAATGGGCTACGTTCAGAGCCCCGCGTCGCTGCCAACGTTTGTTGGGCATTCTCGAACCTTGCTGATAGTGCTATTGATGCGGTATCTGCAGGTGGTGGGTGGAGTTTTTAGTCAAGTAACTCTATTTAGAACAGGGAGTAATAGAGCCGCCTACTTATGCTCTATCGCCTTACTTCAAGGTGATTATTGAAGGGCTTTTGGCGGTTACAGAACGTCCGGATGGAGCGCAGCACAATCTGAGGAATGCTGCTTACTCTGCATTGATGTCGCTGATGAAGTCAGCAGCGAAAGATTGCTACGAAGAAGTTAAACGGGTCACAACAATTATTCTTGAACGCCTTAACTATGTGATGAGTCTGGAGAGCCAAGTGGTTTCATCCCAAGATCGCGCGCAATTCAATGATCTCCAATCCCTTTTGTGTGCTACTCTACAGTCAGTTCTGGGAAAGATAAGCAAAGAAGATGCCCCTGCATTGGCCCAACCGGTGAGTTCATTCGAAATTGGGTTGTCCGTATCGTCATCAATAATCGCCTCCGCTTTTTTCTCGACGTCCTACTTTTTACTTGTACTAGGAATTTTACCCAACTCAGCATAATTTTTGACGTTTTCATTTATTTAGCCTCAGAGGTATTAAATGTCTGACTT